AGATCCATTCAGGGATATGAAGGGAGTTTGGCCCCAAAAAAGGGGGGGGTCTGGCACCCACCCCACCCAGAACAGCCACCAGTACCCCCAAAAATATTAAATATGGAGGGAAAAACCCCGTCCGGTTCCAAGGGCAGGACACGGGTCACCGATGCTCTCCCTCCCAATCCATTCAGGGATTTAAAGGTACCCCCAAAAATGTTAAATACGGAGGGAAAAACCCCATCTGGTCCCAAGGGCAGGACATGGGTCACCGATGCTCTCCCTCCCCATCCATCCAGGCTCAGCATCATGTTTCCCCCCCCCCCCCAACCAGCCACCCCGAAATCGGGGCCGGGTGAGGACAGATTAGGCCACGCTTGGCTTTTTCGTGGAGCAGGAGTGACACGGGTTCCCCCCCCCCTTTCCACCACCCCGGCTCAGGGCACAGGAATGCGGCACGGCCAGCCCGGCCGGATGGGAACCGGCAGCACCAGTCCCAGCCCGGGTGCCAGGCGGGATCCCAGCCCAAACTGGGGACCGGGGACCTTGTTTGGAAGGTTCTCGCTGCCCCCCCCCAACTTGACCCCCTTGGGGGTCTCCCCAGCCCAGCATCGTGGGTGGTCACTGATGCTCTCCCTCCCGATCCATCCAGGCTCAGCATCATGTTTAAAGGGAGTTTGGCCCCCAAAAAAGGGGGGGGTCTGGAACCCACCCCACCCAGAACAGCCACCAGTACCCCCAAAAATATTAAATACAGAGGGAAAAACCCCGTCTGGTCCCAAGGGCAGGACACGGGTCACCGATGCTCTCCCTCCCAATCCATTCAGGGATTTAAAGGGAGTTTGGCCCCCAAAAAAGGGGGGGGTCTGGCACCCACCCCACCCAGAACAGCCACCAGTACCCCCAAAAATATTAAATATGGAGGGAAACACCCCGTCTGGTCCCAAGGGCAGGTCACCGATGGTCTTCCTCCCAATCCATTCAGGGATTTACAGGGAGTTTGGCCCCCAAAAAAGGGGGGGGTCTGGCACCCACCCCACCCAGAACAGCCACCAGTACCCCCAAAAATATTAAATATGGAGGGAAACCCCCCGTCTGGTCCCAAGGGCAGCTCACCGATGGTCTTCCTCCCAATCCATTCAGGGATATGAAGGCGGTTTGGCCCCCAAAAAAGGGGGGGGTCTGGCACCCACCCCACCCAGAACAGCCACCAGTACCCCCAAAAATATTAAATATGGAGGGAAACCCCCCGTCTGGTCCCAAGGGCAGGACAGGGGTCACTGATGCTCTTCCTCCCAATCCATTCAGGGATATGAAGGCAGTTTGGCCCCCAAAAAAGGGGGGGGTCTGGCCGGAGCTGGGGTGCAGCCTCACCTCCTGGGGGTCCACGGTGCAGTAGTGGTAGATGTACTGGTTGACGTAGGTGCTGCCGCTGTAGACCTGGCTGCACATGGTGAGCAGGGGGTTGTAGTAGTAGCTGCCGCTCATCTGCGCCTGGGGGTTGACCCCCACGACGTAGACGATGGAGGCGATGAGCATGACGAAGGCCAGGACGGCGCAGACCACCATGACCACCAGGTAGAAGCGGCGGGAGCGGGAGCTGCCGGATTTGCTGACGCTGGCCACGAAGAGGCCCAGTTGGGTCAGGAAGCAGAGCACGGCCATGGCGATCATGAAGCCGTTGGCCGCCCGGGGGTTGGTGACCCCCCCGTAGTAGCCCCCGTAACCGTAACCGTAGTTCAACCCGCTGCCGTAGTAACCGGAGCCGTAGAAACCCCCCAGGCCGTTGCCGTAAAGGCCCCCGTAGCCGTAGCCGTACTCCCAGGCCAAGGTGGAGGCCACGCAGGCGAAGATGGCGATGCAGAGGAGGATGATGATGGCCTCCAGGATCCTCACCACGCCGGGGGGAGAGGTCCACTTGTAGAAGTGCTGCGGCACGTCCTCGATGTAGTAGGAGCCCGGCGGGGGGGAGCGGGCGTCGTAATCGTAGCCGTAATCACCCGTGGGGGGGCCGTAACCCGTGGGGGGGCCGTAACCCGTGGGGGGGCCGTCGTAGGACTTCTTGCTGAACATGGTGGTGGGGTCCAGCGGGGGGGGGCAGCGATGGAGAACCTGGGGGG